ACAAAGAACACTTTAAAATTGCTTTAAAAATGTACTTAAGGAATCCCATTTGATTGAAAGACAAGCTTCTAATTTTTCAGTGAATATATTATGAAGGCGTACTAGGATACATGTATCTGTATGTCTTCATCCCTTTTTGTCCCTGTCTATAACAATTTTCAGTTATGATAATTCACATGAATGTGTTCTCTAAAACTTACCCTTTTCTTTTTAACATTTCCATCAGGCAGAGGAAAATGGTCTTCTAAAAACTCACCCAAGGCAATCAAGAGTTTCTCCTTAAATTCTTTTATACTAAGCATTTTAGCTTTCAGCTCATTAAAGATTCTAATGATAAGAAAGAATTAAAAGAAACATTTAGCTGATAAAATATATATGTGCATGTTCCTGATTATACATACAGCTGGCCAAAAATTTGTTTAAAAACTGTAGACCACAAAATTAATTACCTTGATTCAGAAAATGTGACCACCTGGTTTTTCAATTCACTGTGTAATTCTTGAAGAGTTTCCATTATTTGTTGCTGTTCATGCAACCACTGCTGCTCCCTTTAAATAGGGACAACAAAACAAATAGTCTAATAAAACTTTTACTGAGCATGTATCAATGATTAACGGAAATTACAACATAAATATACCTTTCTAAGTCTTCCTTTAACTTTTCATTTTTTGACTGAATAGTAGATAATACCATTTCCAGATCATGTCTCAGTTTTTGGAACTAGAACAAAAGAGCACAAGTTAATTACTTAGTCTTTACTATTACACAGTTTTGTTTCTAAATGACAGTGAAATTTATATATTGATCAAGAATACCTCAGTTTAGAAGCCAATAGTAAAAATATCTACAAGAGTCTTTGAAAGGGTAAATATTCAGCAAGGAGATGCTAAGTTTCAAGGAACATATTTTAATTTCAAACTGGAAGTAAATTAATGGAGTATTTTCTGTAATCTGGTAGATTAGGTTTCTTTTCTAATTAAAAAAAAAAAAGGCACAAAAATAAATATCATTCTGGCACATGGACCAGCTACATTCTCCTGCTCCAGGAGGATCTACTCTGGTTAGCTAGACAGGCCCTCCCCATGCAATCCCCATCTCTGCCTTGAACCTAGGCCCCCTCTGCTGGTCACACCTGAGACCTCCAGACTATCCTGGTAAATGGATGGAACCAGAAACTGTTATACTAATAACACAGACTCAGAAAAATACATGATGTTAAGTTCTCTTTCATTTGTGTTTCTTAGCTTCAAATCCTTATGTGTAAGTACATATCCTGAGGTTATTGCTGGAGTCAGGAGAATGGAAAGGAGCCATGGGGGTTAAAGGGAAGAAGGAGCCCAAGAGAGGGGGATGGCAGGAGGCAAGTGTTATCAAGGGGAAAATGGGGAAAGTGGGAGAATTTAACTGGGAAGGGAGGAGTATACAAGGAACTATGGCTGTAAAGAGGTAGAAGGAGCTCAAGAGAAGGGGGTAATAGGAGACAGGTATTATCAAACGGAAAATGGGGAAAATGAAGGTACTTAGACTAGGGAGGGAAGAGAGAGGTTAGACGGTGAGAGATACATAATGCTCAGGTAGTGAGAAAAACTAGAGGGAAATGTATTAGCCCAAAAGCCTACTGAAAAATAGACATAACACACACACACACACACACACACACACACACACACACACACAGTACATGTATATAGCTGAAGCCTATATAACAAGAGACACAGTGGAAGACAAGAGAAACCTCCCTTCCAGTTATTGGCCAGGGTAGTCAAAGAGACTCCCCAAATAACACAGGCCTTGATTGCCTCCCAAAACTTGAAAGTAAGAACCTATTGCTGAAGACGGGACATACTTTGGACACAGGACTTGGATCAATGGAGCTGAAGCTGAGCTGGAAGACCAGCTTTCATACTATGCTAGCTGCTAAGGGAGAAAAATCAAAGGTCCAGCCTAGCTTTAAAGCCTAATAACAACAATTATCAGCAAAGCAAACTATATTGGTGCAGTAGTGGCACTTTTATTTGGGTGCAATCAACAGCTACCTAACTGGACTTAAAGCACACTCGATGGGAGAGTACTCATGTGTGGCAAGATCAACACAGCCAAATACATATGGACAGAGAGGTCACAGATCTTAGAGAAACCCTAAATCTGTCACATCCCTAGACAAACATTATTCTTACTGTGTGCTAAATATGGATCCTTATGTTTACAGATAAGTATGTCAGTCACCACTCATCAAAGAAGCATCTTTTGCAACAGATGGAGATTACTACAGAGTTCCACAACTGGTCAAATTCACAGAATAAGTGTCTGTGAGATGCCCAGCTCTAAGTGACACATCTACAATGGAACCTCTACATCTAAGGCTCACGGAACACAGAGGAACAAGGGGAAGAAAGAATACTAATCCATCTTTCTACTCTCTCCAGCAAAGCTTCCTCCTACAGCAGAGGCTGATTAACAAAAAGCCACAACTGGCCAAAATGTAGAGAATAAGAGACTGCAGAGTGTGTGTCACTGGATAGGACTCCCATATTAAACCTCTGCCAGTCAGGGCTCAGGGACCATTGCAGATGGGATAAGGAGGTTAAGTAAGAAGAGAAGGAAATCAATAAAGTCAAAAGCTAGCTCTTTGAGAAAATCAATACAATTAGCAAGATTAATTAGAGGAAGGACAAGGACACAAATTATCAGTACAGAGGTGTATCAGGAGAGAGGTGAACTCACGACAAACATTAAAAGGATCACTGGGAACAGGGGATGTCCTCTAGTGGCAGAGTATTAGCCTATGAAGAGCAGGGTCCTAGGTTCAATGGCCACTGATGTAGAATAAGGATGATGGGGGATACCCTAAACAACTTTCAACGTCGATAAAGTTCAAAAATAAGATCAGAGAGACAAACTCTTAGAAAGACACATGCTAATGAAGCACACTCAGGACTAACGAAATGAGTATCTGTAATTTTCCCAGATAAAATTTTCATTCATTTTATGTCATCTGTCCATCTGTTTTTGGAGAATCTTTAAAAAATATCTAGTTCAGGGGCTGGAGAGATGGCTCAGCAGTTAAGAACACTGGTTGTCCGTCCTTAACTCCAGTTCCAGGGGAATCCGAAGCCCTCTTCTGACCTCTGCAGCATTACACGACACAGGTGCACTCATACATGCAGGCAATACATGCATACACATAAAATAAAAATAATAAAAAATAAAATAAAAATATTTAGTTCAATAAGCATGAAAATTTTAATACAGTTTTAGAATGGCTTAGCCTACTTCTTATGTCATAAACTGATCTAAAACAGTTCTAACTATAAATTACTTGAGGTTAGTACAAATCCATAAATTACTTACCTCTTCTTTTCCTAATGTTACCAAAACATCTTCAGTCAGGGGAGTTACTACAAAAATAAAATAAAACAAAATCATATATGTACTTAGTTGGTTCTCAAGCATTTGACTTAGTAGCCTTTCTGAGATAACTCTTTTCCACTTCATTTATGTATTACTGAACTTTTATAAGATACATGAAGTTTATATAAATTTCAAATGAACATCTTTCACATATATCTCAAAGTATATATGGATAAATTTGTTATTCATGAATTTTATTTTCAGTTCCTTTCTTTCCTAAAGCCTCAAAAACAACCTTAATGATCTAATATTCAAGTATTTTTCTCTATATTTATATAATGTATTCCTATAATGTACATACATATGGAAATAAATATTCACAAACTTAAAGGTTTGACTTTTATTATTGCTGATTTAAAATTTTTTATTATTTTTATGTGTATGAGTTTATCGGTTGCACGTATGTAAGTGCACCTGTGTTGTACAATGCCCACAGAGGTCAGAAGAGGACACTGGATCCCCTGGAACTGGAGTTACAGATGGTCTTTAACAGCCATGTGGGTGCTGGGGACAGAACCCGGTCCTCTATAAGAACAGCCAGTGCTCTTAACCACTGAGCCAACTCTCCAAGCCCTCACTGCTGATTTTATAAGAAATTTTATCATAAAAATTATCAGTTTTACTCAACAAAACTTCCATTTATAGAACTAATTCACCACTTAATGACTGCATACTACACAATGAGTTAGTAGTGTATGTTATGTGTCTGTATACATCATAATGTAGTAGTGATTTTCCCACAACTGAGCACAAAGTTTAAGCTAGTTTTTAAGTACAACAAGGATACAATGAACAACCTTTTATGTCTTTATGTACTAGTGTTTTTACTTCTATGGAACATATTCCCAGAAATTACAAAGAATCAAACATGTTTTGGAATTTTTTTTTTTTAGACTAAATCAGACTTCTTTTAAAAATGCATCTATTAGCAATGAATTATATACAGTAAATTATATAGCTTTCTATATTTTGTCAGGCTCATGAGTAGAAAAAAATATGCAATTTCACATAGAAATTAATAAATTGTCCAATCTTTATACAAGAGTTTTATCATTTTTAATATTTTATTATTTTTATTTTATGTGTATGAGTGTATTGCCTACATGTATGTGAGTGCACCCATGTCATGCAGTGCCGCAGAGGTCAGAAGAGAGCTTAGGATTCCCCTGGAACTGGAGTTAAGGACGGTTAATAGCCGCCATGTGGGTGCTAGAAACTGAACCCGGGTCCCCTGCAAGAGCAGTCAGTACTCTTAACCGCTGAGCCATCTCCCCAGCCCCAAGAATTTTATCATTTTTAATTAACTGCTATTTGAAATTTCTCAAATGATGTATTAATAAAAAGCTGCTGATACCTACTATTTTAGAGAGTCTTATAACAAGAAAAGACTTCCTATGTGTACTTTATAGGTCAAATTGAGAGCTGGTTGTAGGTTGTAGGTAGTATCATAGTAGAACTATGGTTTGAATAGGTGTACCATACCACCAAGGTCCATGTGTTAAAGCCTTGGATAACAGCCTATGACACTAATGAAAACTAAGGGAACCTTTCTAGGGTAGAACTTAGTGGAAGGAAGTATAGTCACTAGATAGTGGTGCCCTTGAACATTGGAATGTGTCTTCTTGCCTTTCTGACTCCTGGCTGCAATGAGGTAAGAAAGTTCCACCAACATGTGCTGTTACCATGTTTTCCCTTGCCATAGGTCCAAAAACCAATGGAGCCAACCAACCATGGGACTGAAATCTCTAATCATGAGCCAAGTAAACCTTGATTGTTTATACACTGTTTATTTCAGGCTTTTTTTGTTTGTTTGTTTCAGTGATGGAAAGCTGGCTAATGCAAGTACTAAACATTTCAACAAATGCAATGCAAGAGTTCTGGAGACTGGTTAGAACACAATGTAAAATACTTATCACTATTGGACTATACCTAGCTTAAGAGAATACATCTAATGTGTGTTTTGCCATAATTTAAAAAAATCAGAAAACAGAACTTTAAGAGACTTATGTAACTGTAAGGAAAGATATAACATTTGTGTTAATGGAATTTCAGTAGAGGAGAAAAGGGGTAAGAAAAGGCTAAGAAACAATGTGGAGAAATACTACCTGGAAGTTCCCCAAATTTTGTACAAGAAATAAACCCAAATATTTAAGATCCAAGTGAACATCAGACAGCATAAACCTAAAGAAATTTATGCTTAGATGTATTGTAATTCATCTGAAAGCTAAAGACAATGAAAACAGTCTTGAAAGCAGCCAGGAAAAACAGATGCGCACACACACACACACACACACACACACACAATCTTGTACCTTACTTATAGGTGAAGAACTATGAGAACAACAGCAGATTTCTCATCAGTAACCAGGAAGACAGAAGCAGCATACTTTTCAGGTGCTAAAGAAGATAACCCTGGGGCTAGAGGTAAGTTCAGCAGTTAAGAGTACTTGCTCCTTTGGCAGAAGACACAGGTTCAGTTCCTAGCACCCATATGGTAGCTCATAACTGCCTTTATCTCCAGTTCCAGAGGCTCTGACGCTCTCCGTAGGCACTATATGCATGCAGGACATTCACATACATGCAGCAAAACACTCATACATGTAAAACAAAAATGAATAATTAAAGAAACAAACAAACTGGGCATAGTGATGCAAACCTTTAATCTCAGGAGGCAAAGGCAGGCAGATCTCAGAGATCAAGGCCAGCTGGGGGAGCTACAGGAAGACCTTTTCTCAAAAATAATTAAACAAAGAGAGTGTGTGTGTGTGTGTGTGCATCTTCCTTTCTTTTGACATCACACACCATATGCCTGACTCTGTTTTTCACCATGTCTTCTCACAAGACTTTCAGAATCAAGCAATTCCTGACCAAGAACAAAAGCAAAATCATTTCATTCCCCAATGGATTTGGATGAAAACTGGTAACAAAATAGGTACAACTCCAAGAGAAGACACATTGGGTCTGTAAAGTTTCACACAAAATAGCAAGACTGTTTTCAGATAGAACTAAACGTTTTCACCTCTAGAGATTTGGGTATGTTGGGAACTTGTTACGCTTTCATCTGCTCTGCATGAGCAAGTTTGCTGGTTCAATAATAAATATGTGGAACCTTTTGGAAAAATAAGGAATTTCAGAATTTTAAGATGGAAAAAGGAACAGAAAAAACAAAAACATGGAATGAGAGCAGGGCAGGTACCTCAGTTGGTAAAGTAACTGCATATAAGCACTAGGGAGTGAGTTTGATCCTCGGACCCCACATAAAAAAATTAGAGCCTGGTGGCATGGGCTTGAAATCCCAGTGCTAGGGAGACTGAGATGGATCCCTGGGGCTCATTAGTCAGTCAGTTTATGCTATCTTCTAAGTTCTAAGTCAATGAGAGACCTTGTCTGAAAAAAAAAAAAAGTTTGAAACAAGATTAGAAAACTTTGATAATTGTTTGAAGTTAGTCTTTGAGTTGACAAGGTTCATTAAATTATTCTAACTTTTATGGTTAAAAATGTCAATAAGCTGGGCATGGTGGTATAGGCCTTTAATCCCAACACTTAAGAGGCAGAGGCAGGCAGATCCTTTAGTCATAGCCTTAGTAAACTAATACAGAAGTCATTATTACAGCTACAACACATAATCAAGAGCAAGAAAACATTATTATTAGAAACTGAAACTACAATGTTGGTATAGCATAATAGGATAAGAACTGAATAAAGCTGAGCACAGGCCAGGCATAGTGGTACACACTTAAAATCCTAGCACATAGGAGGCTAAGACAGAAGCATGCCAAGTTCTAGGCCAGCACTGTTTATACAGCAAATCCCTTTCTCAAAAAAAGAAAGAAAAAGAAAAAGAAGTTGAGTACATGTCTCTGAAGAATACCACTGTTTTTTTTGTTTTTGGTTTTTGAGATAGGGGCTGGAGAGATGGGTCAGCAGTTAAGAGCACTGATTGCTCTTGCAGAGGACCTGGGTTCACTTCCCAGCACCCACAAGGCAACTAACAACTGTCTGTAACTCCAGCTCCAAGGGATTTGATGCCTTCCTCTGACCTCCATGGGCACTGAACAACATAGGTGTACTTACACACATGCAGGCAATAAACTCATACATATATAATAAAAATAATATAAAAAGAGATAAGCCAGGAGTGGTGGCGCATACCTTTAGTCTCAGCACCTGGGAGACAGAGGCTGGTGGATCTCTGTGAATTCAAGGTCAGCCTGGTCTACATAATGAGTTCCAGGCCAGCTGGCTGGGGCTACAGGGAGACCCTGTCTCAAAAATAACAAAAAAAGAGAGATAAAAAAATCTCACCATAATGATCTAATGGGTTGATGACTGGTGTCATAGAGGATGGGCTCAATATATATTGACTGGCCATGTATGAAAGATGAAAAATGAAGAATGTAGAAGAACTCTTGAATGTAGAACTCATCAAATATCAATTCATGGAATTGGAGGTAAAGTGAACTGGAGGATTTTTTTCTGTAATCTCTATGAGGTACAAAGATAACTGAGTCCAATGTTACAGAGAAGTTTAGATTAAATGTGTATTTAGAAGTTATTATGGGGGCTGGAGAGAGTCTCAGAAGTTAAGCACACTGGCTGCTCTTGCAGAGGACCTGAACTCAATTATATAACATCAATCAACCATCCATAACTCAGAGATCTGCCTGCCTCTGGCTCCTGAGTGCTGGAATTTAAAGACTTGAGCCACCAGGTGTGGCTATACCAACATTTTTGACAGCTGAGTAAGAGCACTCTGAGGTGCTGAAGTATACTGGATGTAGGCAAGTGCACCCATATCGTGCAATGACCGCAGAGGACAGAAGAGGCCGTCGGATCCCCTGGAACTGGAGTCACGAACAGCTGTTAGTTGCCATGTGGGTGCTCGGATTCGAATCCGGGTCTTCTGCATGAACAGTCAGTGTTCTTAACCGCTGAGCCATCTCTCCAGCCCCTTCTATTCTTTATATAGGGGCAAAAATATATTTGACTTCAACTGAACAAGTCAAGAAACAACATAAAAACTATGGAATCCTTATGTAGAGAAGCATGAAAAAAAACTTTGCCAATGTGAAAGTTTCATTAACAAGTCATGGTTTCTACTGACTATAAGACAGTATATTTGAAGATAAAATAATACAATAAGGTCTTCATAGTTCAGGTTATAATAATCTAATGTAAAACATGTATTTATCTGGATTAAAAGAAATAACATAGAGAAGAAAAACTGGAATGGCTTCCTAGTACCAATGGAAGATGAACAATTTCAAGGACAAATGGATCTTATAATTCCTGAGTCATTAACTTATTACCACAATTTGCCTACTAAAATACAAACCTAAAAATAACAATCTTACTTTCAGCTGTTTTTTTGTGCCACTGACTGAGTTCAGCAGTCAAACATTTCACTTGCATAATTAGTAATGAGAGCTACAAAAAAAAAGGAGCAAGTTATTTCTTATAGAATATTGACAATCATAATGAAAATATAATATTGTAATACTAATTCTAAAATAAGTGGTTAACAAAATAGCACTACCAAACAACAAGATATTATCACCCTGAATAGATTTTACTTTTAAACCATGTTAACTATAGTTTATAAATTGCCTGTCATATCAATGATATTGAATACTATTAAAATTAATTATGCTTTACTACTAAAACTAAAAGAACCTAAGAACATTGTTTATTTACAAAATATACCTTAAGAGATACTGATAGAGCAAGAATCGGCCCCTGCAAAAAAAGATTATAAACAACCAGGATCCTGTCTTGCAGAGGACCTGGGTTTGATTCCCAGCACCCACATGATGGTTAACAACTGTCCATAACTCCAGTTCCAGGGAATTCAACGCCCTCTTCTGACATCCACAGGCATTGCATGACACTGGTGCACTTACATACATGCAGGCAATGCACTTAAACACATAAATAAAAAATAATAAATATGGAGAGAAAAAAACAAGGTGAACATTGTCTGAGGAATGACATTGGTGGCTGTCCTCTAGCCTCCAAAATGCACATACAACACACATACACATGCACCTGCAGACACATGAACATTCACATATACCCACAAAATAGACAAAGTAATAAAGAAATATACTTTCTTATTTACAATAGATAATTTCCAAAAATATTTTTGGAACATTTCTTGCAATTCTTAGAGCAGGAGTTTTCCAGCTGTTTAAGAATATAGGTATTACGGCTCAGTGGGTAAAGGTGCTTGCTGCACAAGCCTGGCAAAAAAAAAAAAACCCTAAAACCCATGTAAAAGTGAAAGGAAAGTACCAGCTCAACAAAGCTGTCCTCTGGCCTCCATATACATGCCATGGCATGCCTACACAACACACATCATATGCACACACATACCAACACCACACACCAACACACACACAAATAATTTTTTTAAAAGAATTATAGGTATTAGCAAAGCTGTTATATTTGGGGTAAATATAAATAGATAAATTTTTTTCTAAAATGAATTCTAATTCCTATTTTCTAGGAAGAAATACAAATTTCATACCTGAGCATTTGAATTAGTGAGTGTCTCAGTTCCAATAAGCGATAATTTATTCTGACACTTGATTTAAAAAGTAAAGAGAAACAAGTCACACACTTAACAGTCCATAGATAATTCCCACCTTGCCCACATTTATACTATTCCAATATAACATTCCTCTAAAATAACATAAAAATATGTGACAGAGAGTCTGTTAAATTTCTCACTTTCCACTTAAGATGATCAGGAAAGCAGTAAAATCAGTTCCAAAGTGATTATATCAAAAAAATAGGAAAGGGCTGTAGATGTAGTTCAGTGATGTAGCACCTGTATAGGGCCTTTGGTTCCATCCTCCTTATCCTCCACAGGGCAATGAATAAGAGAATAAAGAAATTAAAAAAAAAAAAAACCTAACAGCTAGGATGAATTATAAGCTACATAATGGGAAAAAATGGGAGGTAAGAGAACAAAAGTCAAAGTACTATAGAAAAAAAAAAGTTAATTACATAAGAAAATAAGCCTTCAGGGGGCTGGAGAGATAGCTCAGCGGTTAAGAACACTGGCTCTTCTTGCAGAAGACTTGGGTTTGAATCCCAGCACCCATATGGCAGCTAACAACTGTCTGCAACTCCAGCTCCAGGGGATCTGATGGCCTTTTCTATCCTGCACAGGCATTGCACGACACGGGTGCACTTACCTACGTACAGACAATACATGCATACACATAAAATTAAAATAAAATTAAAAAAAAAAAAAAAGAAGCTTTCAAGAGACATTATTGGCCTGGACTTAAAAAATCAAACACTGTTAATAATCATTAGATTTGAGATGTAAAAATGATTAATTTTAAAATTTATCTGTGATCATTTCTTTAAAAAAATTTTTTTGCTTTATATTTATTTTATGTGTATGCGTGTATTGCATGCATGTATACAAGTGCATCCATGTCATACAATGGCCAAGGAAGAGGGAGTCGGATCCTCTGGAACTGGAGTTACAGACAGTTGTTAGCCACCATGTGGGTACTAGGCTTCCAACCCAGGTCTTCTGCAAGAACAGACAGTGGTCTTAACCACTGAGCCATCTCTCTAGTCCTATAAATTTTATTTGTGATGATTTCTAGTTGCAGTATATACATATCATATACATACATTCCCCCCCTTTAGTCAGGGTCTCACTATGTAGCTCTGGCTGGCCTGAAACTTGCTATGTCACCAGGCTGAGCATAAACTCAGAGATCCGCCTGCCTCTGCCTCCCAAGTGCTAGGATTAAAGGTGTGTGCTACCACACATATAAACAGTAACAATTTTTAAAAGTTATTGCAAAATCCAAATTTCTAATCTAAAAAAGGAATGTAAACATTAATAAATATGTTAATGACTTAAAGCATCAAGGATTTTGTTAAAATGATTTTAAAAATGTATTCCACTGCTCTTTCCTACTGACACCTTAGTGAAAGATAGCATACTACATATATCTGTGATATGTATCACATACTACATTATTTTGATAAAAATCTGTTCTCTTAAACATAATGTTGTATATCAAAAGTGTCTCCATCTCAAACAACATACATAATTTCAACCTTAACATTACATTTTTATATTCATGTTTTTATTCATAATTCATAATGATATGTCATTCCTATATCCATGATCTTTATTTTGGATACTAATCCAATCCAAAACAGGTACTGAAAAGATTCATCATTCTCTCTAATTTTACCACATTCATTAACTTTTCGTATCATCCTCCTCAGTATTTTTTTTCCTTTTTTTTTTTTTTGAGACATGGTCTCCCTGTAGCTCCAGAGTTCCACCTGCCTCTGCCTCCTGAGTGCTAGAATTAAAGGCACGTGCCACAATGGCCTCAGCATCTCTTAAAGTAATACTTGCAAAGATAGTATTAAGGCCTTCATCTCTTAACAGGATGTCTACTAGAGCCTCCTAAATGTTGTTTCTGTATTCTTTTCTTAAAAGACAACAAAATTGTTTTCTTAACTGGCATATCTCATTGTGTCACTTATGTTTTTAAAATTCTTTTTAATTTTTTTAAAGTTTATCAGTATTTACACAGATAAAATATAAATAAACTTACAAAGCTTTAATGACATCCCATCATACACACTCCACAAAATCTATGCTCTTGTTCCTGGCTAACTCTCTCCAGTCTCACTTCACAAGATTTCTTTCTCCTAGTATCTATTTTCCATATATTTAGGAGTTCTCTAAATTCTTCAAAATAAACTTTTTTTTTTTTTTTTTTTAATCTTTCTGCGACAGGGTCTCCCTGTAGCTCCAGCTGGCCTAGAACTCACTATGTAGACCAGGCTGGCCTTAAACTCACAGATATCCGCCTGCCTCTGCCTCCGGAGTGCGGGTTTAATCCTATGCGCCACCACGCCCGGTTCAAAATATATATTCTTGCTTTCCTGTGTTATATTCCTGTTTTACTTTCATGGGCCCTTATCTGTCCTTCAGGCATGAAATGAGTGACTACTTGTAGAAACATATCTTTTACTCCTTCAGATTAGTGGAAGTGCTCTGCCTAGGTGCAGTTTTTGCCCTTTTACCACAATACTACTAACGATGCATCACAAACAATATTAAGAATGGCTGCTGCCTCCCCAAGATAATCTACGTGAAAGCAGAAACTACCATCATTTTTGTTCTCTTTCTGTATCTTATCTAGTATAAAACTTCTTAAATAAGGGGCTGGAGAGATGGCTCAGCAGCTAAGAGCACTGACTGCTCTTGCAGAGGACTTGGGTTGGATTACCAGCACCCACATGGCAGCTATGAACCGTTCTTAACTCCAGTTCCAGGGGAATCTGACCTCCCCACAGCATTGTACGACATAGGTGCACTCACATACATGCAGGCAATACACTTATAAAATAAAAAATTAAATAAAGTGTATTAAAAAAACTTCTAAAATAAATGCTTATAAGTCCAAGGGCTATATAAATAATTATATAAAATAATAGCTTTGGAGAACTTGACATTTCTTTCCTAGGTCTATTATTGAAACTCATTTAAATCTTTTATACACTGTTATCACTTTTATATGTTGATACTTACTTCTTCCATGTCTTTCCACATTTCTTCACATTCTTTAATAAGTTCTTCTTCTGTATCTATAACAACTTCCACATCCATTGTACTGTCTGAATCTAGACCTTGATCATTCACTGACATGTTCATTACAGTTTGCTTTACTGAAAAACTAAACAGATACATGCATTTAACCACTACTTAATTGAACACTTAATACTTGCCAGATACCCCATTAGGTGCTGATGTAGCAGTGACTAAAAAATCCCTTGAATGAGAAACAATGAATACACTACTGTTGGAAGGGAATATGTTAGCATAGCCATTACAGAAAATAGGGATGTTAACTACAAAAACTAGAAACAGAACTTGGGATCCAGAAGTTCTAAAATGGGTGGAACTGTTAGAAGATTCAATATCATAAAGATGTTAATTCTACCTGACAAATTCTAAAATGTATATGGAAATAGAGATCTAGAGCATAAAAGACGCCCATGAAAAATAAAGGAAGGCTTACTCTACCAAATAATAAATTTACGTAACTCTAGAAATCATGATTTGAACATAACCATACTGCTAACATGGAACACCACTGAACACAATCCAAACACTTTTTTGAGGTTCTGACTTTTAAACAAAAAGCTCCTTCCAAACCCGCCCCTCCGTTGTTTTCCCGCTAGGCGCCACGGTTCTGGAGGGGCGTTGGTCCGGGAGGCTCATGTCCAACTCACATCCTGCTTTCGGGGCAGCGTCTCTAAATCCCTCGAGCTGCTACCGTCCTCCACAGCAAACGTCAACCGTGACAGCGTCCTCCACTGCCCCTGCTTTACCTCCCGCAGGCAAAGGCCTCAACTCACCACAGCCCTCTACCTGCTCCGGAATTCTGTTAGGCGCGCCACCGGCTTCGCGCGCGCTGCCTGCTGAATGGCTCTGCTCTCGCCCACTCCAGCCAATCAAGAAAGTCGCTCGGCCACTGTCTTGCGGGCTGCGTCGCGTAGCTCACCCCTGTGTCGCGTCTCTTTTGACGTCTTGAACAACATGGCGGCTGAAAGTGGTAGCGATTCGCAGCTGAGAAGAAAAAGGCGCCGGGACCCAGAGGAACCGGAAAAAACGGAACTGAGCGAGAGAGAGCTGGTGGCGGCAGTGACGGGAACCCAAGAAAATGATGAGAATGAAGAGCGCTGGGTTGGGCCTTTACCCGTGGAAGCTACGCTAGCCAAGAAGAGGAAAGGTAGCTGCAGAGACGGAGAGCGAACTGGAATGCAGCGTTTGCAGAGTGGGAGGGTTGGTTTCAAACAAGCCCGGAAGAGGGAGTTAAGATTGTGTGGTTTGTGCCCTCAGAGCAGACGGTTGTCACCCTGTTTCTGGCCACTCTGTACTTGAACGCCATTCCTCAAATAGTCATTTGGTCTCAGTACAGCATTTTTTTTCATAATATGTAACACTATTAACCCTGGTTACTTACAATAGATGCTAAAGCTAATACTTGCCTGTTCTTACTTGATTGCTCTGATTGACCTCATAACAGCCATGTGAAGTTGGAATTTATGGTTTTTGTTTGTTTTGGTTTTTTGAGACAGAGTCTCCCTGTAGCCCCAGCTGGCCTGGAACTCGCTGTGTAGACCAGGCTGGCCCGGGTCTCACAGAGATCTGCCTATCTCTGCGTCCCGAATACTGCATTAAAGGTGTGCGCCACCACATCCGACTGGAATTTCTAGTTTTGATTAGCAGGTAAAGGAGAATGTACGGATTCTCTTTAAGGTTCTCTGGGTCGAGAGTACTGTTGGTATGTTAGTGCGCTGGAAAAAGATGATACTTATTAACCACAAAGACAATTTCAACCCTGATTTAACTACCAATGCATTTTCAAGCGCAGGGAAAGTCTCGTAGGCTTCCTGGATCACCGGTTTTCTTTTTTTTTTTCAAGCAAACACTGGTTTTCAGGACAACATAGACTGAAGCATTTTGCCACTAGCTTTAAATAATGAGATTTTATAAAATAAAAGGATGAGGAAATGGATAGATAAAATTTTACTTTTTAAAGCTTTTCTATGAAACTTTTTCCTTCACTGTTAGACTAAACAGTTTTTAAAGCTCAATTCTGACTTGAAACTACTACTTAAAACTATTTTCAGCAACAAATCCCAAACTCCCAAACTGGCATATAAGGCCTTTTAATCTCATTACCTCTTTAATATTTATCCCAATACTGTTCTCTCTCAAACCCTTACCTTGTCCTCCAGCCATTTAAACCCCTTGAGAATGGGCTTCTCTGGATGTCGGCCCCATACTGTATTTTTACCTGGAAAAATTTCTTTCCTTTAGCTAGACTAGCTTTTTAACAAGTAGCCTTCAAATATTTAGATACAATGATTTTGGAACCTCGTATGACACTCTTATACTGCATTATATCTTACTGCCTAATCATCCAATGAAATGTTCCTGCAGCAACCTTTGCCTTCATGGCACTTGCTACTTTCATAATTGTGTAATGATTCACTCACATTTTGCTCCAAACTTTGGCACAGTGCCAAATGCTTATTGATTTTTTTTTAATTTTATTTTTTATGTGTATGTGTGTATTTTCTGGATGTAGGTAAGTGCACCTGTGTCGTGCAGTGCCATGGAGGTCAGAAGAGGCTGTTGGACTGGAGTTATGAACAGTTGTTAGCTGCCATGTGGGTACTGGGATTCGAACCTGGGTCTTCTGCAAGACCAACCAGTGTTCTTCACCACTGAACCATCTCTCCAGCCCAAATTCTTATTGTTTTTAAGCCAGTCAATACTGTATTAGTTTGAAGGTAAATTGAAACTACAAACATAAAAGAATTGTTAGAAGCATAGTTAAAATTTTGTCTAGAAAGATAAATGTTTAGTAATTTTAGGTTTCTACAAATGGAGCTAACATTGGAGTTTTGTGACATGATGTATGGTTGCATGACACTACCTTAATTAAGTTATTTAAATTTTCCAAAACTTATAATTATTGGTGGGAGGAGGAGAATGCACATGCCCATGGTACACATGCAGAGGGTAGCAGACAACATTGTGAAGTTGGTGCTCTGTTTCCACCCTTATGTGGGTTCCAGGGAGTGAACTCAGGTCACCAGGCTTATGCCAGCACCTTTACTGCTGAGCCATCTCACCAGTCCATTAAATTAACCTATTTCTCACAGAAAGATTTATGTCTTATTTTTCTTTATGTCCGTGTACCCTGGAACTTATTCAAAATGTACTAACAGACAACAGAAGAACTTTGAAATAGATATGATAAAATTTAGTTTCTAATCACAGAAAACCCCAACTATTATTTTTTAAAAAATAATGCAATACTGCTTTTATGTGTAAAAGTGCCAAAACAATCAATCCAGGGTTGGTGTGAAAGCTCCGAAAGCTCCCAGGCACTTTTTGCCCTAATATAAGTGGTATATGGCTCTCATCTTCATTGTCCTGAGTTATAATTACAGGCTTAATACTCTAGTTCCAAACTGAGAACTAAGGAAAGGAAAAAGGGAACATTTTTTGAGAAAATACAAAAGACTTCCACCTATCTCTTTAGCATACAGGCACTATAGGGGAACATGAGAAAGGTCATTTAACCAAACACCAGTAGGCACACATAAGAACGGGGATTCTCACTCAGAAGGCAGAGGCAGCTGGAGCTGTATGAATAGGAGGCCAGACTGATCTACATATAGTGACTTCCAAACCAGTTGGGGCCACAGAGTGAGACCCTGTCTCAAAACACAACAGAGAGATGGCTCAGTGGTTCAGAACACTGGTTGTACTTGCAGAAAACCCAGGTTTGAATCCCAGCACCCACATGGCAGCTTACAACTGTCCATAACTCCAGTACCAGGGGATCCGACAACCTCTTCTGACCTCCGTAGGGATTGCAAGACATGGGTGCACTTACTTACATGCAGGCAATGCACGAATACACATAAAAATAAATAAATAAATAAAATTTTAAAGTTTAAAAAAAAAGAATGGGGATTCTGTTACTAAAAAAAAAAAAATGACTGGAAAAGAAATTTGCCAACATAATTTTGAGTGTGCTATACAGCAGTTATAAAAGACTCAGAACAGTTTGTCTTCTTTATCAACCTTATGTAGGCATGTTTAATCATTTTATTTGGAAGAAATACAATGCCTATTAAGTTCATTCATTTGCTAAATTTTTTTTTTCTTTTTCCCTCAGTTCTAGAGTTTGAAAGAGTCTATCTTGATAATCTCCCCAGTGCATCCATGTATGAGCGCAGTTACATGCACAGAGATGTTATTACACATGTGGTATGCACCAAGTAAGTATGTCATACTTGATATCCTCAGAAAAAAATTTTAAAGCTTCAGTTATGAGTAGATTTATGGAAATAATTTTGGGATATTACAGACTTTAATTATGTAAGTTCTGTAATAGATTACATTAAATAAAGCCCTGCTTGTTCTTTCTTATGTAAAAGAATGTATTCTTTCAGATAGAATGTCTCAGTGTGTATGTGTGCATATCAAGATAAAGCTAAGAGGGAGATGAACTCGGTAATATCAGCTGCCCCAAAGAAGATAGTATATCAAGTAGGAGTAAAAAGTTGGCCTCTTTGGCATTCATAGACTAAAGTGTGGCAACTAAGACATCCTGGAATTCTGGAATTATCACAAGACCTTCAAAATGGATGAATGGGAAGATTTAATGAATGATAATAATAGCAGTATGTTCCACTGTTTTTGAACTCATACTATTTCTAGATACTGTTGAGGTTTTTGTAATTATTCATTTTAAGAACAACTTTAAAAGGTATAGAATTTTGATTTTATAGGTAGAAAACTGAGGGATAAAGAGTGAAATGACAGAAGAAGCTGAAGAAAAATGTTAAGGGTTAAATTCCAGAGTATTTTTATGTCTTATATGATTTTGAACCTTTGAGCAAGAGTTACATCAAACATATTTTTTAAGGAATGCCCTGGCTGCGCTGAGGTGATGGATTCAAATAGGACAAAAATAGGATGCTGGTATACAAATTTGGATTAGCTATGAGTGTGGCTTGGGTGATCCTGACAATGTTTATCAAAGATGAATGGAATAGTTTATTCTGGAACAGTCTATTTGTGATCTCTTAAAGACAAATTGCATTTTAGATGTAAATCTCATATATATATATACATATATGTATATATATGTGTGTATATATTTTATATATATATATAATTTCATATATAGGATAGTTCTAACAAATACAGTTTGAACTTGTTAATGTATGAAGCCCTTTGCACACTGGCATTGCTGTTCTCACAAATTTGATTAGTTTTGCTTTTTAATCTAAAGCTATAGAGTTTGACTGAAAGATTACAGTTTTGTGGTTAAGTAGATCTGACAGCCAGTCACTAGCAATGAATCTGGGACAAGTAAATTTCACATTTTAAAGCTATTCCCTGATTTGTAAAATAATGATAAAAATACCTATCTCATAGACTTGTCAAAGTTAATTAGAGTAGTGTGTATGAAGTACCTGACATAGACTGGACTTTAATAACTGGTTTCTATTTTTAAAAATGTTGTAGGAGAAACTGTTCTGTTCAAAGTCTTTTTGCTTCTTAATCAGAATACCTTGAATAAAGTATGAAATTTATGTTTTATTCTATATGTGAAAGTAGTTTAGGTCTTTATAAACTTCTGAAAACTAGTACATTTTCTCATGAAAAGACTGACTATAGAGTAATTTTAGTAATAAAAAATTCTAATTCTAATGATTCCAATAGAGATTTCTGTGTTTTTGTTTTGAGACATGATCTCGCTCACTAAGTTACTCAGCCTAGCTTTTGTACTCCCTCTGTAGCCCAGTCAGGTTTTGAACTTGGAATCTTCCTGTCTTAGCCTCCTGAGTGGCTAAGATTACAAGGTTATATTATCAGGTTCAACTCTTTTTTTCTTTTTTTAAAAAATTATTTATTTTTAGTTTATGTATATGAGTGTTTTGCCTGAATGTATGTGCACTACATGTCTGCAGTGCCCATGGAGGCCAGAAGAAGGAGTTGGATCCCCTGGCATCAGACTTAAGGTGGTTGTTAGCCAACATGTGTGTGCTGAGAACTAAACCTAGGTTTCCTGCAAGTGGCAGTAAAATGTCTTTATCTTAAATCATTACAGCAAACACATTTTATTTATTTATTGTAATTTTATGTGAATGAGTGTTTTGCCTGCATGTAAGTACACCATGTGCATGCAGTGCCCACAGAGGCCAGAAGTGGGTATCAGATAGCCTGGAGCTGGAGTTATGGATGGTTGTAAGCTGCCACGTGAGTGTGGGAATCAAGCGAAGGTCCTCCTACCCTGCAGGAGTAGCCAGTGCTCTTAATTGGTGAGCCACCTCTCCAGCCCCCTCCCTGATTTATTTTAAGATTTTTTTTCATTTTTTATTGAATTTTTGAAAATTTCATACAATATATTTTTATAGCACTTAAATTCCCTCCCCTTTCTGCAGTGCCCCCTTATTACCTCCTACCTAATTTCATGTACTCTATTATGTATGTGTGTTAGCCATAACATACATACACGTATGTATGTAGATTGGTAGGCCTATAAAGTCAAATTTTTGTCCCTAAATGGCCTTTGGTATAGATTCATCCACCGGGAGCCTGGTTAACTTACCAAGAGTCACACCCTTAAAAGAGATGAACTTGCCCCTTCCAGTAGTCATCAATTCCCAGTAGTTCCTCAAGTAGGGTTGGGGTTTCTTACCCATTTCCCATTTTATGCTGGGATTTTGTCTGCCTTCAGTTTACATGGTGCTTGTGAATGCTGTCAGCCATTGCTGTGAGTTCATAAAGTAACTTATACCAACTGTCTGAAAAACTCTTTCTTTGTGATCATCCACCAGCCTTTCTGCCCCCTCTTCAAACAATGGTCCCTAGCATTGGAGGCAGAAGTCTGTCCAATTCAGGGCAATCACTCTGCAGTCTCTTATTCTCTACACATTGGCTAGTTGTGGGTTTTTGTGTTAATCACCGTCTGCTGAATAAGGAAGCTTCTCTAGTGACAGTTGAAAGATGCATTAATGACAACAAGTCTAGGAAAATGTCAGCAACCCCCCCCCCCCCCCGCTTTTTAATGTTAAATCATTCTTCAATTCTGAATCTATGTCTTGGGATTAAAATTAGTTGCTATTATTCATACAGAGGTCTGCATAAAGGAAAATTAAAAGAATAAAACACAAACACCTAAGCTATATGTGGTAGCACACACCTATAAAACTAGGGAGGCTAAGGCAGGCAGCAGGATCACCAATTCAAGACTAGCCTTGACTGTACATAGCCTGAAGCTAGCTTGGACTACGTAATGAAACCTTGTCAAAAAAAAAAAGGTCATTATTGAAACAATTAAATACTGTCAGCAGATGTTGACTTTGGAAACACTCAGAGATTGTTTTGGAAATTAACTTTTAAAGTTTTATATATGCAGGACAGATTTTATCATCACTGCAAGTCATGACGGGCATGTTAAGTTTTGGAAAAAAATAGAAGAGGGAATTGAATTTGTCAAGCATTTTCGTAGTCACCTAGGTAAGAATTTCATATTTTTTTTGTAACTCCTGTTTAAGTTGAACTAATTAAAAGTTTCTTTTAAAAATATTGTGAATTTTTTTATTATACACACTTATTTCATGTTTTCATTTGATTTTTTAAAAATAGGAATTATTGAGAGTATTGCAGTTAGCTCTGAGGGAGCTTTGTTCTGTTCTGTGGGTGATGATAAAGCAATGAAGGTGTTTGATGTAGTGAACTTTGACATGATCAATATGCTGAAGCTTGGGTGAGTCTTCTTTAAAGTATGTATTATAGAAATATATTTAACTTAGTAAAATAATTTTTCAGTCAAACTTCATGTCATGGGTTAGTTCTGAACAGAATATATTATCACACCATTTTGGGTTTTGCTTGGGAAAATTAGGATGAATCCTTATGGTATTGCTTGGAAGCATCTACTCTGGTTTTACTCATTAATCACAGATATTTTCAAATAATATCCCAACCAAAATTTTCATACCCATCTAATACCACTTAACAAATTGATGAAGGCTCAGCAGGACCAACTACTGGTACTTAGAATTAACTTCCTTGCTATACTGTATTTACTTTGAGAATACAAAATTGTGTGTTTGTATGGTTTATATATATTTTTGAAATTTGCTTGGTGTTTTTAACTTTGGATTATACTGATATTTATATTCAGACTATGTGGTTGGATGGTACAGTAAATAAGACTAGTATTTTAAGCATGGATTTTTAGATACTTGTTATTTTGTTCTGTTTTGTTTTCTGAAACAGGGTCTTACTATGTATGCCTGGCTGCCCAGAACTTGCTATAGATCAGACTGGCCTTGAACTCAGAGATTCATCTGCCTCTGGCTCATGAGAACTGGGGTTAAAGGCATGTGCCACCATGCCTGGGCATAAGCATGGCTTTTAAAAGACAACATGCTAAATAAATACATCTAAGTGATTGTCATATGATTAAAAGTCATAGCATTATCAGAGTTTTGGGACTTGTTTTAGTTGCTTGAGTGGCATAACAAAAGACTTCAAATTCCATGGTTGTGGGTCCTTTGAAACACAAGATCTAGGTTCGGTTCCAGCAGACTTTCATTTCATGAGGGCTTTCTTCTTGGCTTCTTACTTGTCTTACTATTTTACTTCTAAGAGGGTCATGGGCCTATCAGATTAGGAACCTATCCTTATGACCTATTTTAACTTAATTACCCCCAGAAATCCCTGTCTCCAAGAGGTCCTACTATGGACTGCATTATGCCTATAGTTCAAATCCAGATTTTGGAGTTTCTTTCAAGAACAGATTTTATAAGCCACTAAAGAAAGCCATTTTTTTTTTTTAAATCACAAATGCAATTACCTAATTTGCTCTTCTGTCTCCTCAATTTGTTTCTCCAGACATAGGTTATTTTTAAAAATCAAATCCATTCATTAATAGTTGAATATGGGGTTGGAGAGATGGCTCAGCGGTTAAGAGCACTGACTGCTCTTGCAGAGGACCCGGGTTCAATTCCCAGCACCCACATGGCAGCTACAAACCGTCCTTAACTCCAGTTCCAGGGGACTCCAAAGTCCTCTTCTGATCTCCGAGGCATTGCACAACACGGGTGCACTCACATACATGCAGGCAATACACTCATACGTATAAAATAAAAATAATAAATAAAATATTTTAAAAAGTTAAATATAAGCCCTTAGTAGATACTCAAAAGAGTTTATTTCAGGAACTGATAGAAATTCTTTAAAAAAAATAATTTATTGGGAATTTCATACATGCATATAAGGTGTTTTGTTCAAATCCATGCCCACTCCCTCCCTTCCAGTTCCTCCCATATCTCCCAATCACTTTTTTCTGATAACTTCATGTACTCTTTCTTCTTGATTTATTTATTTATTTTTATGGGGCTTTTGGCTACTCTAACATTCCCCCCTCTGAAGAGGTAGCCCTAAAATCTTTTAAGGATTAAATACAAGCTCCCAAATCTAACTTTTGACAGTTTTGGCCTTTGGAATGGAGTATGTTGCTAAGAGGCCTGAGAACATTTTGACTTTTAGCCAAGACACTACTTTTCTTCGGGGTCTTTTTACCATAACTGCTTAGCCAATTCCTACCTCCTATTTTTATCACACTATCCTCTGTAGAGGATACCCAAATTGCGGATAGGGAATCAGGACGCAGACCGTTCTGGTGTCCATGCTAGACAGGGACACAGTGAGGCATTGGAGTACCCCTTCAGTGGGTCTCTCTAAAAGACTCCCAGATTCCATAATTCTTATCTCTAGAGGGAAAAGAAAGTCCTTGAATCATGAATAGGAGCTGTGTAAGAGTAATTAGCATTACAAGTTCTAGACAGGGAACTAGAAAAAAGTCAGAACAGGGCAATTTAAGTTTTAAATGTTCTTATGAGTCCATTGGGGTTTCTTGCCAAGGGCTTCCAAAAGCATCCCTCTGTTGGGTTCCTCCTCAATTTTCTTTTGCTTTCCAAGGCTAGACTCTAGAGTGGTGGATTCAGGATTTGCTTTCAGGTATTTTGATAGCTGTTGGAGTGGTTAGAATCAGTGTCAGTTCCCTCTCCAAGGCTTCTAGATAGGGGGAGAAAACAAATTTATCCATCATTTTAGAACAATAGCGTGCTGTCTCCCTTAGCTGCAGGTGGGCACACATGGGCTTGGGAGGAGCTCCTGGCTCCTTTCTTTTACCAGTTCCATCTATGTGAAGATAAGTTGAAGGTCCTGCTCAACCATGTCTGGCTTCACTTGGAAGCATGAATGAGATGTGACCCTCCTCTTTGTATACTGGACACTGGTTCAAGTCCATCTTGTGGGGTCTCCATGGCCTTCCTGAACAAGAGGACAAGTGACTCACCACATTTACTGGACATTTTAAGAGATAGTCCATAGTCCCCTGGAACTAAGTTGACCTTGGAGGGCAAGGGGCAAAAACTGTGTAAGTCTCTCTGACCACATTAGTATAGACCTCAAACTATGGCTATTAAACATCCAGTAAGGTTATTGTAGATAAGGCTTAGGTAAAAAACCAAATATTCTCAGATAAACCTTGACTAGATATATATTTTGTTTCTTAAAGTAGTTGACCATAGTCCCCTGGAACTAAGTTGACCTTGGAGGGCAAGGGGCAAAAACTGTGTAAGTCTCTCTGACCACATTAGTATAGACCTCAAACTATGGCTATTAAACATCCAGTAAGGTTATTGTAGATAAGGCTTAGGTAAAAAACCAAATATTCTCAGATAAACCTTGACTAGATATATATTTTGTTTCTTAAAGTAGTTGACTAAACTATGACCATAGAAATTTTAAGATTATATGTATATTCCTAACTGAAGAGTCAGGAAAGGTTTTGGGCATCAACACTATGTTTAGTACAATAGTGTACCTTTTCAAAATGACTTTATTACAGAGACAATACATACTTGGATGTATTAATTTGTTATGTAGATTATATCCATCTTAATTCTTTTATACTTATTGTTCATTATACAGCATGTCTAATGCTATAGTTTAGTATAAAGATAATGATTTTCTTGATTTTCTTTTGAGCATAGTCATAACCAATATTTGGGTTATTATTTGGGTAATATTTGGGTTTTAAATGTTTCATGAGTGGATTTATAAGCTATGCCATGACATGCTAACCTACTTAAAAGTTATACATAGATTGTTTTACCGACACCCAGTGCCTCTTATCTTAAGGCCTGTGTATGATAAGTTTCCTTACTTTGTAGTAAAATAAATGTGCTGCTATGTGCAGTTTTCCTCTTGTGATTTGGGTGTCATATAAGTTACTATGTTACATTAATGAGAGTAGAAGGAGAAAATTAAGGACTCGGGGTCTAGCTAAGAAGTAGAACACCTGTTTAATATTAAAAAGGCCCTAGGGTTTGATTCCTAACACTGTCAGAAAAAAGAGAGTAAGAAGAAATTATTCTGAGTAGTTACACCCTATCTTTTACTGTTGAGCAAAGAATCCGAAACTGTGAGGTGGTAGGCCAGGACATTTTTGTCTTGGTTATGGGCTGGGGAGGAATGTTTGTTTTACTGACCTTTCTTTTCCTCAATTCTTAACTGTTTTAGCTATTTTCCTGGACAGTGTGAATGGATCTATTGCCCAGGGGATGCCATATCTTCCGTTGCTGCTTCTGAGAAGAGTACAGGAAAGATTTTCATTTATGATGGTCGAGGAGATAACCAACCACTTCATATTTTTGACAAACTCCATGTATCACCTCTTACTCAGATAAGACTCAACCCAGTTTACAAAGCAGTGGTATCTTCTGACAAATCTGGAATGATTGAGTACTGGACTGGTCCTCCTCATCAATATAAATTCCCTAAAAATGTGAACTGGGAGTATAAAACTGATACAGACTTATATGAATTTGCCAAGTGTAAAGCTTATCCAACCAGCATATGTTTTTCACCTGATGGGAAGAAAATAGCTACCATTGGCTCTGATAGAAAAGTTAGAATTTTCAGATTTTTAACTGGAAAACTCATGAGAGTCTTTGATGAGTCATTAAGTGTAAGTTCAATTAAATCAGATTTTGCTTTTCTAAAAATGTCTTTATTTTTTTGCTGTTTCCTAAAAGATCTATTTTCTACATAGACATTTGGGTTGGTGGTAATTTTCTCTTAGCACATTAAAGGTACTCTTTAGTTGTCTTCGATCTTGCATTGATGCTCTTGAACTCACTTCCCTACATTTATTAGGACATTTCTTCATTGTTGTCAACAGTTGATGAAATGATAGGACTGAAGTGACCGAAGGTCAGGAGTAAAACTAACAAAAGCTGAGAGTCAGAATGAGAGTTTTGGCCAAAGACTAAATATCAGTTAAACTAATTATTTGGAATGCAAAATATAAGAGGAAATGGCTAGAATCTCATTGTTCCATGGAGAGTGCTTGTGTAAGTGTGTGTGTGTGCCTGAGTGTATATGTTTGGGAGTTGGGGAGATGAACAACCTGGGAGAGCAGAATGACTACAGTGATTTATAAGTGCATAAGTAGTTCTAGTTTAAGAGTTAGAAATTGAGTGGGATGAAACTCTTATGTTTTTAGTAGTTGTGAACTGAAATATGCAGCATCACTGCATACAGATATGCAGGTGTGTGCCACAGAGGCCATGCTATGAATGTTGGAATGCTGTAAAGAGAATCCATTCAGGTAGTACCCAAATTGAATAAGTGAAATACATGTATATGGACACATGGCTGCCTATGGACCTTACATCTTTAAAAAGAGTCTTTTTGCCAGCAAAATTGATCATGAGTCCACTCCAAAAAAGTACTCCCGCATTCTAGGCTGTTTGGGGACACATAAATAAGCAGAAACTAGAGACAAAAAAACTGTTCTGTAAGATCTTGCATTCATGCCTTCAGCCCTAACATACCTCTTTTTGTATTTTGTACATAGCCTTTATCTAGAAAAAGTTAAAAATTTTAAAAAAGATTTATGTATATGAGTGTTTTGACTGCATGTATATATGTACACCACATGCATGCCTGGTCCCCACAGAGGGTAGAAGAAAGTATTGGTTAAGAGCACTGGCTGCTCTTCCAGAGGACTCTGATAGGGTTCCCAGAGTTCCCACATGACAGCTACCAACTGTCCATAACTCTAGTTCCAGGAATTCCTAAGCCCAAGAACTGGAGTTGTGGCAGCTGTGAGCCTCCTGTGGGTGCTGGGAATCGAACTCAGATCCTCTAGAAGAACAGGAAGTACTCTTAACCACTGAGTCATCTCTGCAACCCAAGGTGAGACTGAGTTAACATAAATATGAAACAATGATAAAAGTAAATGGGATAGGAAGTCTAGCATATTAATCCACCATGAACAGCTAGTTTTGCATTCTACTGTTTGATGTCATACATGTCTGAAAAACTGAATATCAGGATCCTCATATCTCTTGGAAAGCTCATGGAGTATTAACATAAAATAATTGTAATACAGTCCTTATCTTGAAAATTGTGGGTTAAGTATCAAAAGTAAACCAAATTTCCAAACTATAATGGGCACTCATAAAACCCTATTTTTAAAAAAATAATCACACTTGTCTAATACTAATCGTAACTGTCCATTTCAAAATAACTAGAAACAGTTTTTGAAATGTCATGAATTTACTATTGCAAGATTTGCCATAAAGAGTGTTTGCTGTTCCAGGAGAGGACCCAAGTTCAGTTCCTAGTACCTATGGTAGATAGCTCATAACTGCCTGTAACGCCAGCTCCAGGAGAGCCGACTCCCTATTCTGACCTCTACAGGCATTAATATGCCTGAATGCATACATATAGACAGACATACAACAAAAATAAATCCTAAAAAACATGTTCTTCAACAAGAATTTAGTATTTGCCATATGTCTTTTTGTGACCTCACATAGGATCTCATAGACTGTACCTGCATAGTCTAACAGAAGTAGGTACTATCCATGTGACTGACAGAGAGAGGATTTCACTCTGTAGTCTGTGCTAGCCTCAAACTCACTATGTAGCCCAGGTAATTTTCCTGCCTCAGCTTCCCAAGTGCTGGGATTATGGGTGTAGGCTAGTGTGCCTAGCTGTCATGTATCTGACTGTTGGCCCCTTGACATGTCTAGACCAAATAGAGGTGTGCTAAAAGTATAATACATGCAAGATTCCAAAGACAAAATGCAAAACTGATTTCTCCATTTTATAACCTGTTATAGAAATGGTAATATTTTAGATATATTAGGTTAAATAGAATTCCCCATTTTATTTTGCAATGCAGCTACTATAGAATTTAAATTACCTAATGTGACTTGCATTATATTTCATTGGAAAGTACTACTCTGAGGCTTCTAAAAGGCAGATATATTATTCCTGTTTAAAAAAAAAATAACTTTCTATATAAGCCATCTGTTTTTTTTTTTAATTAGAAAAAAATCAGTTACTACTACTATACCTTTTCTGGTGGTAGTGATGGGCATTGAACCCAGAACCTTAAACACGTAACCAATAAGCCACATACCTCTGAAATACGAACTTGTTTGTATGTTTCTTTTTTTTTTTTAATTGAGATTTTTGTTTTATTTTATTTTTATTTTCTTTATGTGTTGTCTCTATGTCATGTGTTTGCAGGAGTTATAGGTAGTTGTGAGCTCCCTGATGTGGGTGCTAGGAACCAAATTCAGGTCCTCTGCAAGAACAGCAAGTGCTCTTAACCACTGAGCCATCTCTCTAGGCTTTTTTTCTGAGACAGAATTTCATACTGTGGTCCAGGTTGGCCTGAAACTTACTATGTAGCCCAGGCAGGTCTAGAGTTGACAATTCTGCCTCGGAGCACTGCCTTCAGAGGGCTGGGATTACAGCCATGATAAACCACCTCAGCTTTGAAATACTATTCTTTATAATCTTGAACTTACTGTCTCTTTTAGCTCCTTGCTTATTGGGTTTAAAATGCCTCTTAAACTATGTAAGTATATAAACTCTTAATGTGTTCTGTTTTTTAGTCAGTTCTCATTGCTTTATTTTATATATGGGTGTGAGTATAATGTACATAGTTATTTTATTAATGCACAGTTTATTTCCTAGATGTTTACTGAACTGCAGCAGATGAGGCAACAGCTACCAGACATGGAGTTTGGCCGAAGAATGGCTGTAGAACGTGAGTTGGAGAAAGTGGATGCTGTCAGATTAATTAATATAGTTTTTGATGAAACTGGACACTTCGTGTTATATGGAACAATGCTGGGCATTAAAGTTATAAATGTAGAAACAAATCGGTAAGCTTTAATGTGATTTTTTTTTTAATGCAGTTATGAGGGACCATTTCTTGCATCAGGAAAACAATGAAAGTTTTGTTTGTTCCAAAGAAAGTGGAATGATCCCAAATGCGTAAACTTAACCAAATGTTTTGACTGGATTTTTCTGTGGTCTCTCAGTTGTTTATAATCTTATGTAGAAAGTTTCCATTCATGTTTGTAGAAGAACTGGAAAGAAGATATGCATAGTTTCAAGGTTTTAAGTTTTGTTTTTTTTTTAACAAGTTTCAGTCTGTTTGCTTATTGATTTAAATTAGCCTGGCTCATGTTAAATGTTGCCAAATATTTTAACCACAGAATTCAGCATTACATCCTGCTAGACATAAAAGCAGGAGCTAAAATGCATAAAAACACAATAAGTCCTTTGTGCATTTGGTATTAGTACAGAATATCTACAATCAGATACTAACGCTGAATGTAAACGAAAAGAACTTAGGAAATAGTTCAAGAAGAAAAATCTTGTGCTGTACATTTCTATATATAAGCATATTTATAATGTACTTCTTGGCAATATAAAAACCTTTGAAAGCTTATAAAAGTTTAATAGGAATAAGTTAATACTATACACTTATCTATTGTTAACCATTGATATCTATAAGGGGTGTTCCAGGATACCTGGTGAATTCCAAAGTCTTAAGGATGCTCGGATGCCTCATATAAAATGGTTTAATATGTCACTGGAGAGATGGCTCCCCAGTTAAGAGTGCTTACTGCTCTATCAGAGGACTGGAGTTTGGATTCCAGCACCCACATTGGGTGGTATAATGTTTGTATATAATATGCATATACTGCCATATTTTAATTAGCTATAGATTATTCATAATCCCTAATAAAATATGTGTTATATAAATACTCATTATATTACATTGTTTAAGGAACAATCATGAGGAAAAAGAAGTGTTTATGTCCAATGTAGATGAGTTGAAAAATATAATTTTTAGTCTGAGCTTGTTAGCATTCATGGATCTGGAACCTACAGGTATAGAGAGATGATGGTATTGAGTGATTTAGGTCTTCTTTCTTTCTTTATTTCTTTCATTTATTTATTTATACATCTGTGTATATATGTTTGTATGTGTGCACGTTTTGGAGGCCCAAGATCAACATTGGGTATCTTCTCTATTGTTCTCCTCATTTTTCTTTTGAGAGTGTCTCTCATTGATCCTGAAGTTCACCAATCTGGCACAGGCTCCAGAGATTTGCCTGTCTGCACCCTCCACTTTCCCATGCAGCAGTAGGTTTACAGATTTATGCCTCTACAACTGGATTTTATGTGAGTGCTGGGGAATCTGAACTCAGGTCCTCATGCTACACAGCAAGCTTTTTACCTACTGAGCCATCTTCCCAGCTACAAGGACTGTTTATTTGTTTGTGGATCTCTTAAAATTTAATTTAATTTGTTTTGGTTTTTTTTGAGACATGGTCTCCCTGTTTGTTATGTAGGCCAAGCTGGCCTCAATCTCACCTGCCTCTTCCTCTCTAGTGCTGGTATTAAAGGCATGTACTACCATGCCCGGCAGTCTACTTTTAATTTAAAAAACTATTTTAGGTTCACAGCAAAATTGAGAGTTAGGTACAAAGTTTTCCCATGTATTTTCTGACCCAACACATCTAGCCTTCTAGCACCTCCCATAAAAGTGGTGCATTTGTTACAAATGATAAACCTATATTGAAACATCACATCACCTAGTATTCATTGTTTACAATTAAGGTTATACATTCTGTTAGGACACAGATACAGTCCCCGTGTGTCCACCACTATATTATCAAATCAGAATTGTTTCAACACACTAAAAATTCTCTGCTTGAACTGTTCATTGCTTTTAAAGACAGAGTCTCCTACTGTAGCTCTGACTATAGTAGAATTCACCTGGGCTGTCCTTGAAATCAAGATAATACTCCTGCCTCAGCCTCCTGAGTGCTAGAATTACAGGTGTGAGCCACAGTGCCCAGCTTACTACTAATCCTTTTAGTGACTCTCTAGTTTTACTTTTTCCAAAGTATCATGTAATGTTAATCATTCAGCATGTAGAATTTTCTGATTGGATTGTCTTCTTTCAGTTAATATGCTTGAAGTTCTTCCACATCTTTTTATACCTTGATTGAAAACTCTCTCTCTCCCTCCCTTTTTCTCCCTCCCTCAAAACTGAATAGTAGTCTGTTATCTGGATGGATGCACAGTTTGTCTGCTAAACTGTCCTGAGGGGCATCTTGGCTGTTTCCAAGTTGTGGCATTTACAAATAAAGCTGTTATAAACTTCCTTTATAGGTTTTGTGTGTGTGTGTGTGTGTGTGTGTGTGTGTGTGTGTGTGTGTATTTTCAAGTCCTTTGGATAAATACCAAGGAGCTTATTGGATCATATGGTAAAAGTATATTTTTATTTAAAAAAAACAAACCACAAACTGTCTTCCAAAGTGGCTGTGCCTTTTTGCATTCCCACCAACAGTGAGCGTTCCCTTGCCAACATTTGGTATCCATCAGTATTCCGGATTTTGGCTATTCTAATGTGTTGTAATATCATATTTTAGTTTACTTTGCATTTCTTTGATGGCATATGATGTGGTGCATCTTTTCATATGCGTATTTGCTGTCTGCTTCATTGGATTGGTGTTTGCTAAGGTCTTTGAACCATTTTTAATTGGTTGCTCTTACTGAGTTTTAAGAGTTCTTTGTGTTACTTAACAGTTCTCAATCAGATACATCCTTTGCAAATTTGTTCTCCCAGTCTGTAGCTTTTCATTTTCTTGATTAGATTTTTTTAAAACCTGAAAACATAGTTACCTTGCCATTTAAAATATCTTTTGTAGGGTAGAGAGACACTTTAAAATATCTTTCACTAGGGGTTGGGGATTTAGCTCAGTGGTAGAGCGCTTGCCTAACAAGCGCAAGGCCCTGGGTTCGGTCCTCAGCTCTGAAAAAAAAAAAGACAAAATATCTTTCACTAGTAATCATTTGGCTATAGATAATGAATAGTTTATATTTAAAAGTTTATTTTATATTTATTCATTTATTTATTTATTTTGATGATTTCAGAGCACAACTTATGGGAGTTGGTTTTCTCCTTCTACCATGTGGATCCTAGGACTCAAACTCAGGTCATCAGACTTGGCAGCGATTGCCTTTATGCACCAAGCCATATATCTCTTCCCATACCTGGATAGGGGATTTTTAACTATCGTATGTCAAGCTGTCACAATTTGAATTCGTTGTGGTTTGAATTTTTTTCTTGTATGTGTGTGTGATGTATGCATGTTTACATGTGTGCACATTTGTGCAGGTGGAAGCCAAAGGTTGATGTTGAGTATCTTCCTCAGTTGCTTTCCACTTTATTTACTGGGAAACCAAGAGCTCACTGATTTGTCTAGTCTAAATAACCAGCTTGCCCTAGGGATCCCATCTCTGCCTCCCAAGCACTGGGATTATAGATGGGCCTATAGGCCTGCCCAGCTTTATGTGAGTGCTGGGGATCCAAATTTCAGTCCTCGCACTTGCATAACAGTCAATTTATCTACTGAATCATCTTCTCAGCCTAATTCTGGTAATCGTGCTATATTAAACATTCTTATATTTTTCAGGTGTGTACGGATTTTAGGCAAGCAAGAGAATATCAGAGTGATGCAGCTAGCTTTGTTTCAGGGAATAGCCAAAAAGCATCGCGCTGCAACTACTATAGAGATGAAAGCTTCTGAAAACCCGGTTCTTCAGAATATTCAAGCTGACCCAACAATAGTCTGTACCTCTTTCAAAAAGAATAGATTTTACATGGTATGTGGATGTTCTAAGAGATGGACCTTAATGTTTCTTCCAGCCTCAATGAGAGTTTTATTTTCTTGAAGGAGAATGTTGGCAATGACAGCAAATTTTCTAAACAACTGGAACACCAGCCTACAACATTTAGTATTGTAGAATTTTTAGCTAGGAATGATTTTTAAGTATCTGTCTGCATTGTTTTCCATCATGTTTTGAAATTTTTCCATCTGGCTTCTACTACTATTTGTGCTAAGCTGACAGGAAGCTAGTGATTTCTATTTATACTTGTATCCAAAATGGATTTTACTATGTGGTTTTAAATTTAATTTTTGTTTTTCAACTTTTACTCTACAATGTAACTTATGTCCCTGAACTGGCACACTTTCTTGCTCTAAATGTGCAGAAGGCACTCCCTCTCTTCGCAGATCATTGGCCACCACGAGGGCAGGGAGAGCAGAAGCGGCAAACGGGGTCAGGACGGCCAGTGAGCACTGACGGAAGACAGCCCTTCCGGGGAAGCTGGTCCCAGGCACAGTGAAACAGCAGTGATACAGCCCCAGACACAGTGAAACAGCTCCGTTTATTCAGTGGGAGAACTAGAGAATTTATAGTGTGGAGGCAGTAGCAAAAGCCTCAGTTGATAGGTGCTCATAGTGTGCTTTATTTACATGTGGCAGTGGGCTCCTATCTTCCAGACTATCAGGCAATGCCCGATTATCTTATAGAAAAAACCTGGGGGTAGTTTTTACTCCAGGTAACTATGCGAAAGGTCATGTTTCAGATAAGGTCAGGCATCCGTGCTTGGTGGCACTTTCCAGGTGAGCCAGGAAGAGAGCAGGAGGCCCCCTGCTGAAAAGGGGAGTCCTTCCATTTGGCGCCGAGCCCCTTAGGGCTATCCGGACATGGAGAACTACAACCCTAACAGCAGGGTTTCCCAACATAAATGCATTTCTTTAACTTTTGGTTCATTGTTGCAGTATACTACTTTGGAATTCTATATTTCTGAAGAATTTTTGTTTCACCTCTAGAGAACTAAGCTGCAAGTTTTGGGGGTTATTGCTCAGTGTTAGAGCATTTACTTACCCAGCATTCATGAAACCCTAAGTTCAATCCCTAGCACAGGAAAGGCGGGCACGAAGATTTGGCCAAAATCCAACTACCAAGTTACCTGTGAGTAGCAGTGTGCATCGAGTCAAAGTTTAACGTCTATAGCCGTCTACATTCCATCCACACAGCACTCAGACAACCTTCTAGGATCTAATCTAATTTTGAGTAAAACTTTACTGGCTCCACAGCTGTCCAGGATAACTGGATTTCCTCACTTCTATAGCTTTATCCTTCTTTCCCACACTGACCAGATCAAACGTACTCTATTTGCAATAACTGAGAGTTCTTTATTAACTCTAATCACACACTTAAGGTCTCAGCTTGAAAACTTTCAACACCACTCTGAATCTTGAGTACCTGTTTATTTTTCTCCTGTACTTCCCTCATCATGTGCATCACGCTTTGGGGATATAAATCCCTAATTTCTTAATTTGGGGATGTATGTCTCTAATACAGTGTTCTCTTCATCCAGATGACTGAAAAATCAGAATATTATGTCTTCATTATTAAATCTACATAACTGAATAAAACAGCTGATCTATTATAGTGTGCACATTCATTCATCTGATGTCTGCACTCATTGCAAGCAGCTGTGATGCCTTTAATGTCACACAGCTACTGATATGAAGTAGCACTTTCCCTACCGCAACCAAACTTTTAAGCTAAACTAGATAATTTTTTTTTATTGAACAAAAACTTTTAGATTGCTTTATTCTTTTTTTTTATGCTTTGAAGAATTTTTTAAATTTTTTTTAAAATTTAGTAACCACATGATTAGAAGAAGCATTTCATTACACCTTTAACATATTCAGTAACACACTCCAGAGCAAGGATACATCTCTTTCAAAAGTGGCTGTAAATTTTTGGGTTCACAGTTGAATTAATACAGTTATACAATATTGAAGTCAGTGTAAACCCTGTAAGATATAAAATTGGATGAGTTTTTACCCTTTAAAGAAGATCTCCATTTCAAGATATGCTGTTTCCTACATTTTGTAAAATATTTTTTATTTTTTTTAGAAGCATATCATTACAGCTTTAACATGCCCAGTAACAGTTTCCAGAGCAAAGGCACAGCTTCTTCAAAAGTGGCTATAAAATTTCTAGTTTGCTGTTGAATCAATACAGTTATACAATATTGAACTCAGTATAAGCCCTGTAAGACATAAAATTGAATGAGTTAACCTGCAAAAAGAATCTCCATTTCATTCTAAAATAATACTGTTTCTTACAGAAAGACACATTGTTTGTGCTAACATTGAGATGTTGGCATATGCGTCTCTAATCTGTATGTATCTAATTATTACGAGTCATAATCATTTGCACTTGGATCCTTGGCGCTTGTGTATGTCTATGAAGTCATTGGGTAGATTTCAGTGGTAATGTTCATCACCTCTACTAATTGACATGATGTAAACTTTTATGCTTCTTCCTAAAATATAGTATTTTTTTTAATTTGTTGATTTTTTTCTGTTCATATCACACAGAACATCCCAAAACATCTTATTCAACTATAACCTACTCCCCAGTTGACACCTTCCCATAGCCTCCCTCCCCCCACTAGAGCCCTTATACTCTGTTATCCTTGCTACTGTCTACTGTGTTGTCGACATCCCAGCCGTTCCCCACTACTTGTCCATCTGGTGAATCTGGTCAGCCTATCTAGAGGTCTTTGTTTTAGGAAGGTCAGCTGTTCCTCATCTAGTAGC